GGGGACCAGGGTTGAAATTTAGTGTGGGTAAGGGATTGAGTTTAATGGAAGGGTTTATCAAAAAGTATATTATATTAAACTCCTAATTCTAATATTAAAATTATAATATGTATCTGAATAAGTTATTTTAGGAAGCAGTTCTCTACCTTAGTCCAATCCAACTAATCATGTATTTCTTATTGCCACGCCTGCCTTTTTTCTTTTTTTTGAGTACTCTCTTTTACTAGTTACTGTGGTTATATTTTGATACACTTGAAATTGTGGCATTCAGTTAATACACGACTTTTCCTAAACATTAATAGAAAACAATGGCATTATAGTTTTTATAACTAAATGGTGGTTTAATATTGTATGCTGTACTCTTTTTGATTACTTTCAAGTTGTGGAAAGACTGGATCCACATAGGCTGCTGTTTTTCATGGGAAGGTGGGTAGATGAAGAAGTAACTGTGGACCTGTAGTCAAAATTATATTTGGATTAAAATAATCTAGTTAACTTTCTCAGCTTTTTACAGTCAGGGGGTCAGCAAACTACAGCTTGTGGGCCAAACTTGTGGCCTGTTTTTGTAAATAAGGTTTTACTGGAACCCATCCATGCCCATTCATCTGTGTATCATCTGTGGGGGCTGTCACGCTACAGTAGCGGAATTGACTATGTTACCGAATAGGGTCCAGGCCCTGGAGCAGTGGAGCCAGTGAAACACATTCCAAGTCAGAAAGAGTGAGAAAGTTTTAATTTAGGAGGTGTACACCAGCGGGGATCTGACAGCGTTGCAGGCTGTCTGTATGGAGTCCCAAAAGGCATTTTTACATCAGAGCTTATATATGATTTTTACAGAGATTAGAAGTGTCGTTATTTATTACAGGGTAATTGCAAGAGACTCTTTATCATACTAAAGAGATACTTGCCGGACATTTCCTTAGCTGACATCTAGGCTCTAATCTTCTGTGGGGGGGTCCTAAGTCACAAAGCAAAGTCATTAACAAAGGTAAGCACAGAACAAAGCCGTTAACAAAGGTATGTGAAAAGGGAGAAGGCAAAGGAGAAAAAAAATACTTACGGGTTCATCATGGCGTTAGTTATGTCAAGCTCTCAGTTGCCCATTTTGAAAAGGAGAAAACATGCTGTGGAGTATTAGGGTCACAAGTAGTTGCCATAGAGACCGCACAGCCTGCTAAGCTGAAAGTACCAGCTCTGGCCCTTTACAGAAAGTTTTGTTGACCACTGATCTAAATCATAAATCAGGGCAGAAATTAGTAAACCATAGTAGAATTGTGTTGAATGTAGTAAAGACTGGAATTGAAGTCTTCAAAGAACTGTGGTTGAAAGCATGTTGAGACGCCTTACATTTTCAGGTCTTTCAGAATCCAAGTCACCGTCCACCCTTATCACTAAACTACCTTTGGGTCACCTCAGTCGCCTGCTGAGATGGACAGCCTCCTTTCTAGTCTGTCAGAATATGTTTTCTGCTCATGAATATAGAGGATCTTACTTTGTGCCTACTTGAAGATCCATAAATTACATCTGATCACAGATTTGGGTATGACTTCAGATCACAGCAAGTACTAGCAGCTCCTTCTGGTCTGTCAGCATCTACCGTCTTCCCAGGCACCTAATATCCCATGATATCCCAAGGGTTATCAGATGTTGAATTTAGCTTCTGTGTTTGCCCCAGCTCAGAAAATGAATTGCCCGTTGTTCGAAACTTACTAGGTAACTTATCTGTGACAAAGTATGGGCTGTTGCTTATACATATTGTGAAAATATTAAGGACATTGAGGAGCATAGAAAGGACAACAGTTGAATTCCACTTCTAAATACTGCAATAGAAGGCCGTATCCCTCATGATTCAAATATCACCAACCAATGAGCAGGAGAATTAAGTACTTGATTGCTTTTTAATATAAAAATTTAAACAATATTTTCAAAATAAACTAATCCTTGTTTATAAACTAAATCTGCTAATTAACAATTATCTAACTTGGTAATGTGAGCTTGGGGTAATAGAAAATGTACTGGCTCTGGAGTCTGCTGGACCTACATCGGAACCCTAGCTCTGTCATTTTCTAGCATTTCAAATGAGGGAAAATGTCCAAAATATAGAGCCTCTGGCTCCTC